TTCTCCTGTTGCTTTATGATTAACTAACTTACATATTTTGCGATGCTTGTTCAAATTTCAACATGAATATCTATATGGGGTCCGATTTTCCACATTCATTCCGAATAAGGCACCGCAGCCACAACCTCTTGCCGAATGAGTGATATCTATTCCACTATCCTCTGGAGCACAGAAAAAGTTTGTGACAAACCACGGGGGAGTGCTCATGCAGAAATTCTCACAATCCAGCTAATCAGTTGGTGATTAAACTGCCGGAATCTACGCCATACGTTTTTTGTTTACTAAGCAACCGGGACTTCCGCAAGCCAAATCCTGGTTAGCGCCGCCATGTCGACAACGATGCAACAATCAAAACCAAAGAGTTTCTGCATATCCGACCATCCCTACCAATACGTATACCTGAGGTCTCTTGAAAAGCATGTAACTGTGAAACCATATTTCTGCACGGAATTGTATTACTTTTTTAATCTTATACGAATTCATGAGTGCCCCAAAATATTTTAAGTTGTTTAAACTATGTTTATTCGTGCTTTTAGCCCAGCGTTCAGAGGATATGTGATGGCGTCCATGTGCACAAATTTTATATAACTTTGGTACGTCCTCGATTTCAATTACAAAACGACTTCGATCTCAAGATTTTGCCTAGAGCATATCCTTCTTCCATAATCGGACGTCGGAATTATTCCGTATGATTAACCAATGGTAGTTTCTTTTTTTTCAAATCTTCGACAAACTTTGTAGAAACCCGTACGTGTAAGCTGTACACTGAGATTTGTAAAGCAGCAAAATATTCGTGTGATCAATATTTCAGGTCACCAAGTCAACTCGCCACTTTTGTAGCTGCCGCTCAAAGCAGGCATGTAAAAGGAAAATTCTAGATTTTGGGCTACCGAGTGCGGCCAAAACCAATATGTTTTGCGAGGCGGTCATAAACTTCTTTCGATGTCTCGGTAGCTAAATGAGGGGTATCAAATTTGAGTGTCAAACCCTAATTTTTCAATGGTAGGTAGTGATACCACCGTTAATGTGATTGACCGTCACACGTGGAGTACAGGTTAGAAGTTTTTGAAAAAATTCTGCCAAAAAGATTGATTTTGCCCACGGTGCAAGCATTCAGATTTAGAGATGAACAATTAGCATTAGGCGATTCAACAGATCTGTAGGATAAATGTAATGTGGAAATACGTAAACTGCCTGATGAAACGACGGACCAGTTACTCATCGAAGCAGCTCGAATGTTTAGTTGACGCAATGGTCTACAGTGGGTTTTATCTAACGTTTGCTCTATATGCAAGTTTTTTATAAGACTTCGTTGGAGCACTGATTCAGCCAGCCAGGGCGAATTCCTGGATAATTCCTAGGTAAACAGTGATTCATCAAATCATATTCAGTCGCTAGTCAATACAGCCAATATATATATATATATATATATGATTTAGCCAATAAATGACGGAGCGTTGTCCGGGATTATAGCTTGCTATCATCTTCACCGTCCATAAGTCTATCGCAAAAAAATTGAACAACGCGCACTGTTCTACGTTACAGGGTACGAAGCAATCACTGGATTGACCTGGTTGTTTCCAATTTGTGGTGAACTGGCTTTTTCATAAACCCTATCAAGTTCTCCACCAAACATGTATCCAGCGGTTGCTTTATACGGACTTTACAAAATTCGTGACGGTTGCCCGATAGGTGTAGAATTACAATAACGATAGTGCCCTGACATGAATTGCATTAGGCCGGGTATGTGAAGTCAGGCTCTCAAAATTCAGAATCAGCGTTTTTATATTCCAATATATATATATATGTATGAATAAGTCAATGAATACAAGGGAACAAAGGGGATTCTACAGACTTTCACGTTTAGCAAGGATTTTTATTTGATTTTCAAAATGCGCTGTGGCACTATAGTGTTCAACGATTGTTCTAGAGACTGCTGTTTGGGTCGATAGTGGTCAATCTATCCGAGGGGCTTAGCATTTCGGTTGCAAACATGTCACCACTAGTCGAGGTGACATCATGTGAAGGCAGGTTTTACCGAAAGCGCGCGTGACTGGTAAAATGCGATAACACTGCATGTATTCCGAGAAGATCCCAAATGTGTGTATATTGTAATCAGGTTTAACCAAACGGTATACTAAATAGAACAAGTTATTCTGGTCCTTACAGAAAGTGGTCACCAAATCATGCATTATGAATAATTACTTCAAATTACAAAATATCACATGAATAAAAATAACTCACATAAGCAACAAAATATGAACGGTGACTCGTGGTATATTAGGGGCTCCCCAGTTGTGTTGTGAACAAAACCAACGTCAAATTTATCAAAGCCGAATAGTCCAATACTCGGGCCAATGAATGATAGTGTTGTGGTTCCCTAATTGTTCACGTGATATTCTTGACTATGAAGCCACAGCGTCTTGTGAGTCATGTGCGGAAGTGCAAAAACATTTAGGTGGTCGGTTTTTGTCAATACATCTACGTGTCTAGATAGTTATTTTCAAGACTGCAGCCTTTTTTGTAGTTCACGCCGGAATTCGCGTGCAGCGAAGCCACTGACAGTTGCTTGACAAAACAAGGTTGTAAGGTGGACGTTTGGTTGTCATGTATGACCGGGAGTATCCAGGTGTGTACTTGTGTGTAATTTCCTTGTGCCTAAGATACAATACCGGGAATAAGTTAGCGTCAAATTATAGCGCAGATTGCACTTTTGAATTGAAAGAAAAAAATTCGCTTTAGATTCATATTCTATACAGACTGAGGAGAATAAACCCAATGAGAAAATATGCATTAACTTGCAATATTCTTGTATAATTTCGAAACCTGGCAAATATATTTTTTATATATTTTATTTGGCTTCACTATTCTTCTAACGAAGAAGTAAACCATTGGCAGTGTAACTAATTTCCATACAATGGATACTTTGTCTTTTAATATGCCCACAGTGTGCAAGGCTACAAAAATGGCGTTGAACATGGCACACCAAATGTCGAAGTGAAACAGAATGTAGGAAACAAGAGGGAGACTTAGTTGACCTTTGACTAGTCGATAAAGAAGATAAATTCCATGTTCCAAAAGTCCCATCATTTGACAAATGGTAACTTGGATATTCGTAGAAAAATGCAGTTCCCCTGAAGTGTTGAGTTCTTGCACCAGCAAGAAGTCTTCCTCTGCACAGCGTTCAATAACCGATGCTTCAATGAGTACCGTCGAATTATGAAGTATGTGGCTACACAGACGCCATCAAGATTTTTAACCGTTGGTCTGCAAAGACAGACAAAAAATACTGCAATTTAAGACTCCTCGGGGGAATCTGTAATAAAACAACGCCCAATGAGACTGTAAGTGGTGACTAATAACATGTGAAATCCCCACGTTTTACGATCACGGCCCTCAAAGGCATCGCCTCTTAAGTCAACTCAAAGTAAATCGCGGGGAAGCGCTCGACATACCAATTGGGATATCATTAGCACTAGATCAGCTTTGAACTTTATATTACACCTAACAAAGCAGGAGAAACTGCTAGGCGGATCGCGGACTGGGGCATCGGGAATCTAATGCAGGTAAACAGTTCCTTATCTAGAAAGGCTTTATGTGAGTAACTTTCATAAACTTGGTATATCATTGCACTAGATCAGCTTTGAACTTTATATTACCCCTAACAAAGCAGGAGAAACTGCTAGGCGGATCTCGGACTGGGGCATCGGGAATCTAATGCAGGTAAACAGTTCCTTATCTAGAAAGGCTTTATGTGAGTAACTTTCATAAACTTGAGGCTGTGATGTATCGAGTGTTCATGTAAATTAGCACAATTATTGATGGAACATGACAACGGCACATATATGTAAACGTCGCTTGTAAAAGTTACTTGTGGTAGGCTGCTTGTGTCCATGTGTCAAAATTTTGGTATATTCCGTATGGCTAGTGGCAGTTTGGCAGGCGACTGCTCATTCATTCGTGTACTGGGCAATTGCCATGCAAGGTGTTTTTGTCCCCAGTAAAACAGACTTCTTCACTGCGCATTTGGGTGAACGATTTCCCCTCACCCTTCTGCGTAGCCCTATCGCTCTCTGATTGCTTTGGTGACTTGCGAGAATCTGTTTCTCTCGAGGACAGGTAGATGTAGGTAGTGGAGCCCTCATTTCACTTCCTACAGGATTTGTACAATTTCCTTTCTCTGATGTGTGATCCAGGGCTGACTTGGTATACAGTGTGCTTGAATAGAGCCTTGTTTATCTCAAGTTGGATGATTAGTAGTGTGGCTGCAAATGTCTAGGCGGGATCCAGGTCTTCTGATGCAAGCAAAGAGCTCACATCGGGAGAAAGCGTTATATTATCTTCTTTATCTTAAACAGCCCTCGTTCATTAATAAAAATAACCTGAACTTTTTATTGGTGAAGTAACGATGACAAATTTCCACCACCTCTACGGCGCTTTCTGTAGTTTCCTAATGTAGCCTCCGAGGCTGAAGCGATTGGTTGTAAACGTGTTGTTGTTATGTGCATTTTGGGAGTCCATATAAGTCTGGGGAGCCCAAGTCTTGGACTCCAATCTTTCAGTGCTCTCGCTGTGGTCAAATAAATCGGCGGGGTTTTCCTAAAGTCATTTTTTCACATTTTACTGATAAAACATATTTACATCAGTCATTTCCGATGTCATGATTGGTGGTCCCATCGGTTTGTAGAATTTTTCGTTCATTATTTTATTCTTGCCTGTACAAAGTGAATATCTTGTGCCATTTGTTGGCGAGTAGTATGACCACCGCCTTTCCTTTATTTAGTTCGACCCGCGCTTAATTTTTCCGGTACACAGGTTACCATATACTTTGTGTGGCAGCGTTAACCTTTGAATGCTGCAGAGTGTCCTCTTGAAGTTGCGTGTATCTCAATACTGCTTGTGGGCTAGGTGGGCACTGTAGGTTCAGGCAATATTGAGGATTTAAATTTAAGTAGGCTGATTAGAACATTATGTCTTGCTTTTTCAGCGTTCTTCTATAGATGGCGGGCATACCCGTATCTCGGATTCATTCTATCTCTCGTGCAGTCGGTTATTCTGACAATAGAAAACGGGACTTTGATAACAAAGGACCAATCATATTGAAGAAAATAATACCCAACGAGAATGGAAAATTCCATGTCGACCAAAGGACTTTCAGAATGGACCATAACGTACCAATCAAAAAGGGGCATGAAACACTCTAAATAACTGTACAGCAAAGTAGTAGGATGCGCAATTTACATATCAGTATAGCACGCAAACTGCAAAACGGGAAACAAGGTTACAGGAACAACAACAAAACATCATGAGCTCTTGCGGATGATGGTGAAATATCCGATCAAACACACACGGACGTTGCTTTCTCATCTGAAGTCAAAACGTTCGAAGAGCCTAGGCTAAGCCATTTTCAGACGCACCCAATATACCAATATTTCGGAGCGTGAACAAAACTGGCATTAGCTGTACGTCGTTGCCGACTATTGCATAACTGTGGTTTCTGGGTTCGCCACATGAAACTTCATGAAACGTCAATGTGAGCAGGTGGAGAATTCCTGTATACGAAGCTTCTCACATGAATTAGCTGCTCTGCGCACAGCCGCTTATTATCCGGAATTCCTTTCTGACAGCTCTGCGTCATAAATGCCCCTGAGATATATTTTCCAGTTAGTATTTGAGCGACGTTTGTCACACTTTTTCTCCCCCCTCTTACGAAAACTCTCGAAAGCTCTGAAATTAAATCCGGAATAATTTCGAATTTATTTACCCGCAAGTCGTCTTTGATGTGCTCCAAGAAGTAAGATACTGTTATTGAAATTATAATTAATAACTATACTTGGTTTCTATATAAAAACAACACACATTTGCTGAAATGTTCAACCATCGGTATTCCATCGGTATGTGCACTAGACCTATACAAACTTCCTGAAGATATAATGGGAATCAAAATAGGAGGTAAGGAGCGATATTCCAATGATTGTCTAAAGCTGCTAAAGTCTGCACTGGGAACCAGGCATTTTCGGGGGAATTACGGTACTGCTTTCTAGTACGAATAATCCACAGACAGATTAGGATAAAACTTGGACACCTCTATCCAACGTGTAAAGGCGTCTTCATCGTATCTTGACTATCCGGTGTTATTGTTCACCCAACCCTTTCAGCCACAGAGCACAACGCGGCTGCAACAAAGAATAGAAATAGGCTAAAACAGTTCCTTGTGTAACTAGAGAGGGGTCGTTAAACCAGACAAATAAAGAATGCTAAGATGTGGAATTCATGAGTGGGAATTTCGATTTGTCTTTGGATTATGAATGTGCAACTTTCAGAGATGCATTCCGTATAAGTACATTGTTGCAAATTTCTCAAATTAACCTTGCAAATTTTTCCACGCACTTTGGGGTTTCAGGCAGCATTTTGTCCTGTAAATCGACATTACAAAATAATCGTGACCCTTTCCTAAATATCGGACCTTACAGAATGCAGATTTATTTCACGATTTAGTTGTACAACTTGTCTTGGAGGGGAACTTTTATTACATGGCAAATGACGTCATAGTAGCACTTCACTCTACGAATTGTGATACCCAAATCACACATTCTACAAGACGTCCATTCTTACATGGGACATACAATAACCGTTAACTTACTGGGAGTTATATCTAGCATCGGCTCCGCTTTAGGTGGAAGTAAAATCAAAGTGGAGAAAACAAACTCGGTGTTTCAGCAGACCAGATTTTGAAGCCAACTGGGTTAAATAGGACAAAAATTTAGAAAAAAGATACTACGATGTACATTTTTGGAAACCTAACTCTCACATATTTTCACATGGCCTTGCAGCTAACTTCTCTTGCAACCTGAGCGGCAACAACAATAAACAACTTGATTTCCTAATAAATTATTCGGATGTTATTCATATTTCAAAGGTAAGCATCTGCTGCCTATTTAAGTTCCAGCTTGAATACACCTTTGTAATTACTGTTTCCTTCTAGCGTAAATGTTTGCTAGAGTTGTTACCACAATAAGATTGGCGCAAGGTATGATGTATCAAATTTATCAGGCTGGAACGGCAAAAGCCAAATACACACCGAATAGGTGGGTACGCATTGGCCAATTGGACCTTAGGTTAAACTTGAGGACAATAGTATAACAAATTATACGTTTACCAGGAAGCAGGGCACAGTGAAAACAAGTGTCCACAAAATTTACGATTCTTGAGGTGAATTGTTTCAGTGTACTCGGACGCGGATAAATGTGCTCGCCTGAATATCCAGAAGTGAAAATCAGGGTTAGGATGACCTTGCCTAACATTGTCTCTACAAGCAGTTTCACCATTCTGTACCTATGGGCGTATATATATATTCTACAAACATTCATGACTGATCACCAAATTTAGCCGATGTGCGTCATACAATCAAAAGGATGTTACCCTTGACATGATTCAGTAACGCGATAGAGAGCATGGTAATAAATGTCAAGGCGCTACAACGTAAGCCTGAAAGTAATGAACCTTAGGAAGACAGAGCAAATCACACACTATATACATAAAGGCCGCTTCAGCATACAGTGCTTTACAAAAAGGTGGAACCTGAATGATTTGCTGTGCTAACATGTTTTAGTTGACTACTGACTAACTGCATTGTTGTATATGCCCACTTTACTGCTGCGTTTTCACAAGCGATGTTTACGTATCCAGAAATATTGTTAAAGAATGAAATCACTTAAAGGGTTTGCATAAATCTACCTCGTTGTCGAACGGAGCATTCTGTATTCAGTCGCAGCTTGAATATGATGATGTAAAATTTTACTGCCTTGCAACGAATATCAGACAGCTTTTGTTGATGCCGAACTTTGATTGTTAAGATGGCTGTATCAGTTTCCTGACGTCCTTTACCAGAAATAAGCAGCGGGTTACCGCTTTCGTAAGCTCTTCCGTGCAGTTGTGTCAACCACTTGCACGGTAATTGCTAAGTTTGATCTTAAACCGGCCGCACGTTATAGGCATTGTATAAATCCACACGCATATATGGAATTTTGTTTGCGGTACCCTAAATCAGAATAAGGTTTCATGTATTACTAAGGAGAAATTATGTTCTAGATTTCGCTCTGTTCATAGTGGGATAAAGGAAGTACTTCAGTGAAAGGAGTTCTCATCTTTAGAGTGCATTCTATTACATTGAGAAGTTGAATCTCTGAGCATTTTGCATGCGCATCGCTATTCGAAATTACGAAAGTCATCCAGATTTGAAAGTTGTATACCGCTTGTACTGAGGGGCTGGAAAAATGATACTGCGGAATGCCCGAATAAAATCCATCTTATATTTCCATTCGAAGATTGTAAAACAAACAAGCTTTGCAAATTTGACAAGTGCGTTTAAAGCCATCCAATTTTTGTTAAAACACCATGTTGCACAACATCAGATAAAAAAACTTCCGTCTACAAAACTTAACCGGAAATAAAATTTGATCTATATTTTTTACAATACAATTCGTTATGGGCAACATTTTAACGGGGATATAACAATAGTGCGTTCAGGCAATGAGTGCCTTGAAAATCAATTATCAAACGGAGATATAACAATAATGCGTTCAAGCAATGAGTGCCTTCAAAATCAATTATCCAGGTTTCTGCCGTCTCTCGGCTTCTCGCGAAATAACAATTTGGATTTCCAGAAAGGTGTATCTGTGTTAAATTTCTGCGCGTCTTCTGGGTACATTTGAATGATTCTGTGATTTACGCATTGCGGTTTGAAGCTGCATTCCGGATTTTTCGCCGTTCATCGACTGCTGCTCCCGTCTACGTTAACTAGTGAAAATTGACAGAAGTTTGGTTCGGACTAACAAATAATTCAGCGGTTTTGCGATACGTTTCGCTGATAGACATAGATAACTAGTCATAGATTGATAGTCATATTTGAAGTGTAGATGTCCAACGGTCACTCATCAGCGGCGATCACAACACTAATGAGGCCGCACAATACAGTGTGAAAATATCGTGCATTCACCGGCTCAGGGCTTTTTGGACAGGCGACCAATTTTAATTTGAAGACAAATTATTGTTCTTACCACGGTAAATTCAGCAGTCAACTAAAGATCGCAAACCGGTATAGTAGGCCACCGAGTGCTCAAAAGTGTAGGACCTGTTAGTGAACTTAGTTCAGTGTTTACGGGTTTGTATGCAAAATGTGCACATTGATGAACCTGGAAAAAATGAACGTCCAGTACGTTTGTCCAACGGTGTCAACAAACGTGGTTTACATGTACGAATTCTGAGCGTTTTGGAAGTGATGTATCAAGATGCGATTTCATTTGATACATGGTCATTTGAAACGATCTAAAGAAAATTAATCATGAAGAAGAATTTGCACTCCCAATCTACGTTTTCCTTGCAAATCCATTCGTATACATTGCATGGAGAGAGGCTATTGTAAACTGTTTCAACAAATATAGTGTTGTTTGTACTTTAGTTTTCTTTAGAAAACCGCGACATATGTGAGTCATACGTGGTCCACAAAAGATGAAGATAAATGCATGAAACTTAATTTGGCGGAGGATTTTGATAAAATCCTTGCTAGTTCGAATGTTTAACCTAAATCACCCTAGGGGCCAAAATTATGTGAAATGTACAAAACTCATTTTCAGTTCGACATTGCAACAATTTCACATGTTTTTATGTGACATTTTGTTTCAGCATTTCCTTCGACAACGTTTTATGACTAGGTGATTGCCTTTGATGATATATATTTCTACATTTCTAGCCCGGGAATCTTTTGACATATATAAGTCCAACGTTTTAGAATTATCCCGCATCGGAATTGGCGTTCACAGGTTACACTGATCTGGGAGAAAATCGACCAATATGTGAAAAAAAGCATCCTGGTGTCGGTTGTACCACTACTGGGTCATTTGGGTTTGGCCTCCACGGACGCAGGTAGGAATTTCTTTGTTTAGGTACGCCAGCTGTTTTCAAATCTTTAGGCAGCTATGTTTTCTCTGTAATGTCGGCATCTCCTCAACTAGTCGTGGCAGGAAACTCAACTTGCTGCTTTGGTGCTAACCTATTGTGATTTTTTGGAAAACCTGATGGTAGAAATGGAATTCATAATAAGGCTGCGCTCACGTCTTTGACACCGAATCTCATTTGTCTCATGCAACTGCAAAATATTTGGAAGTTGGTGACCGCAATGTGCATTTTCTGCGGTCTATGAATTGTTGAAAATTACCAAACGGTGTTCAGCTCATACACACGCCATCCCTCATAATCATCAATTTTGCGTTTTGGCCGGAGCAAGCGGCCATTTTGATATAATTTCAAAAAAACATTGATATGCGGCTGTGTGCGGTCCCATTGAGGTTGATTTCTGTTCGTCTTCGATGTCTTTGCAGCATTGATCTTTATCTGATCGATAAAATATGTCAGGTAGGAAATGTTCATCATTTGTAGCCTTCCAAGCACATGATTCTCCTAAATTATTAAAAAACGGTTGATCTAATGAAATAATTTAGCTCAATAGTTGGGCGGTTGGAGTGAAGCTCGATTTGTGACAAGCCCTAAAGAAGGCAGGGATTAGTGCTGGCGGCAGCTAAGGCGCTCAATTGACGACTAAAGATAGTGTCGGGTGGTTCACGATCCAGAAGGGTCATCATCATTGCGTACGCTCTGTCTTCTATCACACAAATACGTTTGGCACTGAGACAAGTTATATTCTAACCCATATACATAAGGACTCGTCGATTTGCGTCAGCCGAACGAACGGCTGTGTAGATATTATAAGCGAAACGGTGCACATGTCAGCTTTTAGATTAGTTGAAATGCGTACGCACACATCCAAATTGTTGTGTTTGGGTGCACGGTTATGTGTTTTATGACGTAGTCTACTGAATCAGGCTGTAAAGGTAACAGATGAAGAAAGATGTAACAAACTATAAACCGACGTGAGTAGGGTGCCCACGTATTTGTGGACAAAAGCCGTCCTATCGGTCACTTTTTATCCGAGTGTCCGTTATTCAAAAGCTGATCTCACGAGAAGACTAAAAGGGAAATTTTGCTTTCCACACAACACAGGTCTGTCTGATTCCCAATCACTCAGTTAATTTGAAGTGTTCCTCCTCAAGTTTATCACTATGACGTTTCGTTTCAAAAACCAACTGCAATTGTTTCCTAAGCGATAAATTCTTGGATTATTATTTCTTTTCCCATTGCAATTCAACAAAAAAATTTTTGCACATAAATAACTATGACAAGGGTGCCAGAAGGCAAGAATAACGGCAATGCCGCATTATTTACACCGAAACATTCTAAAAAGTGAGGAGCCGAAATTCTGTCCAGATGAAATGTAATAGAGAGAGTGGTTATTTCCATCACAAATTTGAATTAGGTTGCTTCTGCACCTGCATGGTTGTCGGAATAATAAGTGAAGCGAATATTTTATTTCATAATTAATTTTCGTTGGGAACAGCCTTTTTGGACCTTGTGTGAATACATTTCCGATAGTACACGTACTCCTTTACCACCTTGCTAATATTTCCGGCAGATCGTGGATGTTTGTATGCAAACAAACAGTCCACAAGGAGACAACCATTTACCAAGCAGAATTGAACACACCAGGCTACATTTTGGATGACGGTGATATCGAGACCACCAGCACAATTTCCAGTAACAATGTATAATCACACATAGTACACAATTTGAATCTTTGTGTTGAATCTGATTTGACCTCATGATAATTCCCCCACTCGTTTGCTTACTCCGCCTTAGTTCTTTCGACCTCAAGCTGTTTTGATTATCCGTAACCGCCACCAACCTTACCGCAGAGGCCGTCCTTTCCGACACCTGTCTATTGACATATGGGGTCTGTGTGTGAATGTGCGCTGCTGACCTACTTACCCAGGCGCGTCCATTTCCCGTTTGCTGAGCCCGCCTTGGCTTGTTTCTTCTTAATTTCCGTGTGATCGCACGTCCAATGAGAATCATGAGACGCTCTGTCTTCTATCACACAAATACGTTTGGCACTGAGACAAGTTATATTCTAACCCATATACATAAGGACTCGTCGATTTGCGTCAGCCGAACGAACGGCTGTGTAGATATTATA